AAACCTGGCCAACATCTGTGATGTCATTGGTATCCCTAAGCAGGCAAAGGATTGGAATAAACGAGTACAAACCATTCTTCGCAAAAATAATAGGGCTGAGAGAGCTGATGTCCCTTCTTTGAGAAAGTTTCAAATCACGGTGCACTCAGTCCCGCCTTATATTTTGGCCAGAGGATCCATCGCGAAGGCCGCTTATCAGAGAGCTCTTGAAACGGGAAAGACATTCGATAAGCGGGCTAAAATCTTGTTGATTGGCCAAGACCGGGTTGGCAAAACTAGTGTCTTACGTTCTCTGAAAGGTGAACTATTCAGACAAGATGAATCGAGCACATTGGGGTTGCAAATAGACATGCCTCTGAAACATGTTGGTGAAAAACCATGGAAGAATTCCAAAGAGGAACAAGAAAAAAGTACCTTCCATTACAAATGTGCTCTAAATATTAGTAACCAGTTATTAACTGAACCACCAAACGAAATTTACGTGGACAGCGAAGTTACGAAGCAAACAGAGACTGATGAGACACAGAGAACAGAGGGGATGATCGGTGAAATAGGATCAAACGTGGGTATGTACCTCATTACAAAATGTTGATTTGGTTTCTGTGTTGTTGAAAAACTTTACGCTTGTAAATCACAGAGGTTGCACGTTACATTACCTTTTACAAAGTGCTACTAAGACCGGAAGGGGACGTGATAGGAGACAGGTTGTTGTTGGAGTTTTAAAATTCAACACCTCCCACACAAGTAACGACGATTTTTTAAAATGGATTTTTACGTCTTTATTAAACCCGTTTTCTCGGCAGGTCTGCAACACATCTTTGTTGACGGCTTATCGAGTGATACCAACAACAGCTTGGCATGAGTTTCACTCCTGTAGATATGCTTCTAGAACAATCTTTGATCTCGTCGTGTTATTTGTAAATCAGTATGCATGGCTAAGCTCACGACTTCATCGTAACAAGGAAACAACAGACCCTTACGGAATTTTTTCGAGTATTCTACAACTTTACTAGACACGTAAAATTATAATCTTACGTTTTTAAACCTGAAAAAACAAGCCGTCAAAGTAAAGAAAAAGACAAAAAGGAAAAAAAAAAGGCAACGACAACCATAGCACTGCAGCGAAATATTACTGGGTTAAATGGAGTTAATCAAAGCTAATTTTTTTTCAGAATTCTTCGATGAGGTTGGACCGAAGAGCTCACCAAAGGTTTTTAATACATTTTATTGTTCTCTATATTTAAAGGTGATGTTAAAGCTATTTATTAATGGCCAACTTCCATTCCAACTTTGCTAATGGAATTTACTTGTATCTGTTTTCGGTTCAATTCAGGGAAAGCAAGACCATGACATAGAACCGAGGTCTCGGGTGAACTCAGGTAAAATTTCTCCGAAAACACAAGGGGACAACGGGCATCATGAGAAGCGAAACAGTGACATGCCTGATGAAGTGGTGCGACTTACAACTGAAAACCTCTCGAGGATAGAGTCAGTGAAGGATGACGGCATTTGGCCAGTGTGCATGGATTTTGGTGGTCAAGCCATTTACCGTGCTATTCATCCTATTCTCGCTTCGCGTGAAGCAGTTTATCTGCTAGTGGTTGATCCTACCAAAGATCTTTCTGCCCCAGCCCAATGTT